TTATCTTTCCTTCCCCCCCTGGCTGGCCAAAGGTCAGCAGAGAGAATGAAGTGGAAGAGAGCCAGAAGGGAGCAGAGGGCTCCCGCCACAAAAGCCACCAGTCCAAGCAAGTTTGGGAGGACACTGGAGAGGAAGCATTCGCTGAAAAGGAAGTTCAGAGTTTTGACCAACATGCCAGACTGGGCATTTTCACTATTGAAATGATACTATTTGACGGAGTGCGTGGGGGCGGGGAGCGAAGGACATGCCCAGGCTGCTGGGAAAGAACACGACTGCAGTGCTGACTCGAACAGGCTAGCAAGAGCGAAGCTGTTTTCTCTGTCTTCCACGAACTTCTGCTCCCGTATATATAGGAGTTACTTATTTTGAGCAACCGCCCGGGCTGTGGTGTGGAAATCAGTTTAGAAGGACTAAGGGGCTGGTCACGGACTCCTCCACGTCCTAGGTGAATTAGTCACGCTTGTTGCTTTGATAAAATACCGGCTGCAAACGTGAAAGATTCCTTTTGTCTCATGGGTCAGAGGTTTCAGTCCACGGTCTGCTGGCTCCACTGTTCCTGGGCTGTGATTAACATTATGGCGCTACAGAGGGATGCAAGGGCTAAGTGGCTCACTCTATGACCACCAAAAAGCAGACCCCAGAGAATGGCTTGCAAAGGACTGCATGGTTCTTACACATTCAGGTCTCGTTTAGTATAATCCTCACAGAAAACACCCTCAGAGACACACCCAGAAGTGTTCTTGACCAATATCCTGGATGCTTCTCAATTCAATCAAGTTTACAATTGTGAGTAGCCAAAAAGCTCACTGTGTGACTTTGGGCAAGTTAGTTCCATCAGCTTGAAGTGGGAATGTACTAGAATCTCTTATGGAGTTGTTAAGAGGATGGAATGAAGCAAAATGTGCAAAGTACTTAAAGAGTGCCTGATCCACACTAAGAATTATGAGGTTTCCATTATTATTTTTGTTTTAAAAGTGACTATTGTACCAGACTAAATGTGAGATAAGATTGATGTGGATTGCCTTTAACCACGGAGTGTGGAAAGCTCAGGATGTAGCTTTGAGTCCTAGTCAGCAGGAAGTGGAAGGGAAAGTGTGGGAGAGGAGGATGAGAATCACTCCCGGGTGCTTGGCCACGACACCAGGACGGATGGAATTGAGACTGAGGAGAAAGGGAGCTGTACCCTGGCCTCCCAGGAACTCCCAGTTACAGATGCTTCAGAAAGGCCTTGCTTCCACAGCACCGGAGGAGTTGAGGGTCACAGGGACAGAGTTCTGACATTTAAAATATGTAAGAGAAGTGATCTTTCCACGTGTTGTTTCACTATTTTAGAAAATTGAGGGTCAGGATTAAGTTTATAAACTTAAGTTTACATATGACAACCAGGTTTTTCTTTTAAGAATCAACAATGCCAGTCCTTGGGGACCGACCATTGTTAGAGAAAACAATGGTACGACATTGTTCTCCAATTGGGGCTGGAGATCTGGCTCAGCTCATAAGAATACGGGCTGTTCTTGCAGAGGACCTGTGGATCCTGTCACTCACGTCAGGTGGCTCACAACCACCAGCAATGCCAGCTCCAGAGGATCTGGTGCTGTGGTGCCTTCTTCTGGCCTCCATGGTACACCACTCCCCCCCCCCCCCCCCCCCCCCCCCCCCCCCCGACATGGCATTCACACACACACACACACACACACACACACACTAAAAGTCTAAAAAATTCTACTCCTGTAACAGATGCCTTCACCTTTCCTTTATCCTCCTCTTCCTTGTTTGTCGGGTGCTGGGCATTGAACCCAGCGCCTTGTGCATGCTGGTGATCTACCAAGCGATGCCTCTGCTCTGCAAAGCACTCCCCCAAATTTGTTAGTTAATAAGCATAATAAACAACATACGTGCATCTATACCTCGGGGTCTATTATATAATCTTCAGGCCATCTTTCAAAATCTAACACTTTACAAATAATAATTTCAATCCTTTTAAAAAACACCGTGTATGGCTTGCCATTTACCTTTGTTACGTTGCTATGTAGACCTTTGTTGCCAGGTGACGGCCTTATTCGTGTCCTAAAGATGTGCTGGGGATACAAGAAGCTTTTGCCCTTTGGCATCCTCTCCCCATTTTTACCCTTGTCCTCTGGGGATAAAAACAAGTGTGGAGAACCCGAATTTCTCTTCTGCATCTTGACAGGGGCTGTCTGTATTACCCCGCCTGGCTTTCTAGGGTCTGCGAAGGCATTTGTCTCAGATGCCAGGGTTGGCTGGTGAATAAATGGCTCAGCCCTTGAGGGTTGTAAAGACTAGGAAACCGTCACAAAGAGCTCTTTGTAGTTCTCACATGCCGTCATTGCCTGTGCTGCCTCCTCAGTTCGTTTTTTGACAGCACTCCGAAAGAAGCAGAGTCCCACAGGGCCCCATGAGAAGGGCAGAAGCAGGTGCTCCCCGGGACCCTGACATCTGGCTACACTGTCCACCAGGGCTGGGGCCTTGCTCCCGAGGCAGGAAGCGCTGTCTTCGGTGAGAGGAGCGAATCTCCTTCTGCTTGCTGACAGATGTTTGATTCTGCGTGTTGCACTTGCTTTTGGCAATCTCATAAAGGGGCCAAGCCGACCCACATGATGCAGAGGGGAGGAAATGAGATCACATGGTAAAATTCCGGGTGAATTCTCCAGGAGCTGACCTGTAGTAGCCGAGACAGCCCTGGAGTTCACACAGTGACTCATTTTGGCTCATAGGGCCTTTGTGAAGCCCATCCAGATAGCTATCAGGAAGCAAAAACCCGAACGTTTAATGTCATTTCATCTGCTTTTAAAAATAGACATGGGTTATGGTCTGAATCTGAACTGTCCCCTACCGGTCCATGTGTCTGTATTCTGATCCTCAGCTGGTGGCGCTGTTCTGTGATGTTGTCAGCCTTTAGGAAGAAGGACCTGGCAGGAGGAAGCCAGGTCCTGAAGGCAGGCTCTTGGGACAGTGGTATCCTTGGCTACTTCCTTGTGGACAGAAGCCTCAAGCTTCTGTCACTGTGGTTGGAGTCGCTCCATGCCTTCTCCAGGTGACGGACTGCTCGCCGCCCCCCCCCCCCAAACCATGCCATACACCTCTCCTCACTTAGGCTGTCTGTAGCTGGCATTTTGTCACAGTACAAGAAAACTAACCGCAGAAGTGATAACTGGTATCACTCCCTGGCTTTGAAAACACCCAGGACTAATGTGTTAGCCATGGTGGTGTGGAACGTTGGGATGTTGGATATTTTTGTGTGAGGTAGAGGTAGAGAGGACCTGGAAAACATCTTCCCCTAGTTTATATTATTGTGACTAATTTTTATTTACTGCCTAGGCACACTATGTGCAAAAAAAAAAAAAGTCACATTTCCTTTTTTTTAGGGAGTCATAGAGAAACTTTTTCTTTCTAAACTAAATAAACCCATCTTTCATAATTTTGGAAATCTGCTTAAAATGGTGACACATTTGAAATGGTTTGTAATTTGTAACATGACTTTCAAATACAGTTGTTTGTCTTTACTGGAATTTCAATTTGTCTTCTCTTTGTCTTAAGAGGAAACACATGTTCTCTTCACCGGGTCGCTGGTATCATTCATTTCCACAGGCATTTGATCTTTTTTACAGACTGCATTTTAGTTTCCTTCTTGAAGGCATCATGTCGGGACTCACTATTACTATTGTTTTGTAAACCAGCACACCTGGCACCTGGGTCTGCTCTGGAGGGATCTCCTGGCTCAACCCACTTCTTCTTATGCTCTTTATTTCCCTCTTGGTAGGTTTGCACCTCATGTCTCTGGATTATTTCCAAATATTTCAACAGAAAAAGCAGTTGGGAGAGGAAATTTCTGAGTAGGTGTAAATCTGAAAATGTCTTTGGTGTGCTTTCACATTGATTTATAGTTTGACAGAATACAGAATTCTACATCCAAAGAGTTTTGTTTATTTCCTTTAAAGACAGAGTCTCACTATGTAGCCCTAACTGGCCTGGAACTCGCTATGTAGATCAGGCTGTCTTCTGACTCAAGAAGTCCACCCGTCTCCACCTCCTGTGTGCTGGGATTAAAGGCAGGCTCCTCCATACCCAGCATAGCAAACCTCTTTCCTCTAGAGAACTGAGAAGGCCCTGCTCTGTTCTGTTCTAGCACAGGGTTTGCAGTGAGATGCTAGTTTGTAATTGTTCCTTAAAAAAATCTTCCTCCCTAGAAGCCTTGAAAAAAAAAAAACAAAAACAAAAAAAAAAAAAAAAAAAAACCCTGTGTGCATTGTAACGTTGTGCACAAGAACCCAGATATGGAGTTGACTATGGCAGGTCAAGAAAATGTGTGTATACATAGGATAGAATGCTATCTAGCCATACAGGGGAAATGGTGCCACTTGTGACAATATGAATGGCACTGTGCTGAGTGAAATAAGCTCGCCACACAATGACAGCCTGTGTGATTCCACTTTCATGAAGTATCCAAACAGTCAGACCCATAGATGCAGAGAGTGGAAGGGGAGTTTCCAGGGCGGGGGAGGAGGAGATGGGCAGACGCTCTTCTCTGGGTGTAGTTTCAGTTATCCGAGCTGAGCAGGCTCTAGCTATCGAAAACACGTGCTTGCAGCCAGCAGTACTGTACTACACACTGGCTGTTTGGTTAAAGAGATGGCGATGATGGTATATATTCTTACTGCAATAGTGAGAATTAATGATGCAGCTCCTCACTGGTGTGTGAATGACAGGCCGCAATCCCAGCACTTGGGAAGCTGAGAAAGAGGACCAAAACTGAAGGCCAGTCTGGGCTACGTGAGACTGCCTCCAAAACCAAACCAAACCAAACAACCAAAACAAAAAACCAAATAACCAAACCAAACCAAACCAAACCAAACAAACAACCAAAACAAACAACTAAATAACCAAACCAAACCAAACCAAACCCAAAACCAAAACCAAAACCAAAAACGTTTTCAATATCTGGTGTTCTAAAATTCCACGAGGGTCGGGGGTTTAGTTCAGAGCTAACTGGTTTACAGAGTATGTACGAGCCCTTGGCTTGATTCTCAGCACCACTGAAAGAACGTTGGGAGAAAGTGCAAAATGAAGTAGAAAGTGAACATTTGTGTAGGAAGAGAAAGTAGCTCACAATGTAACAGGGACGAGGCTGGCCAGCAAAGCTCTGCTTCATAGAAATTCCACAGGACATGCAACATGCTGTCATTTGTTTGGCTTGTCGCTCATTACTCTTAGAATGAGTGGCATTATTCACGAACATGAATGGCAAACCACCTGCCAAGCAGGAACACTCACACTAGACTATGAGAACCAAATGCATGTATTTTAAAGCCACTGAAACTTTGAGGCTTATTTGGGTAATTAGCATTACAGTACTGGTCCGTTTACCTTAATGGTAAACATACCATTTTGTAACTCCAGAGACTGTCTGTTTATCTATCACCTGCCTATCATTTGTCTATAATATTTTTTATAAGCTATTCATGGGCTGGGGACACAGCAAAGGCACACAGCACCTAGCCTGATGACTGGAGTTCAGTCCCCAGGACTCCCATGGCGAAAGGAGAACCAATTCCTGCAAGTTGTCCTCTGACCTTCGTAAGGGCGCCATGACACTCACCCCTCCTGTAAATGAATAGATAATAATAAAAAAAAAAATTTTAAAGACCCAAACCAAAAGCTCTACCCTGCTCTCTTTTCTATTCTACTAGATATCACACCTTACGTACTTATGCTTTTTAAAATCTTCTCCGGGGTTTTATCTGTTGATCTTTTGCTATATATTCTAGGGGAGAACACAAACTAGACTGACCTTAGGTCTCCCTTTTGGTTTTTAAAATTTCAGCAGTCTCATGCTGAAACAGTTTTTAACATGTGTGTGTGTGTGTGTGTGTGTGTGTGTGTGTGTGTGTGTGTGTGTGTATGGGTGTTTGATTGCATGTATGTTAGCGCGCTGTGTGAATATGGTGCCTGGAGAGGCTGAAGAGGACATTGCACCCCCTGGGCCTGGAGTTCTAGCCGGTTGTGGGCTGGTATGTGGATGCGGGAATCAAACCCGAGTCCTCTGGGAGAGCAGATATTGATTTTTACTACAGAGCCGTCTCTCCAGCCCCTCTAAGGATTCTTCTTTTGTTTTAATGTATGGGGAGGTCAGGGTAGGATGTAGGGGTAAGCTCATTCTAGTTTTATGGGCAGAAATATCTTTACAACTTTCTCTCTGAGCATTAGCTAAGAGCTTTCAATGCTTATTTTTGTATTTCTTTATTTATTTTTGAGAGAGGGTTTCACTATGTCGACCAGGCTGACCCTAAACTAGTAGAGATCAGTCTGCTTCTGCCTCCTGAGTGCTGAGATTAAAGGTGTGTGCCCAGCTTCATTTTTCCCCTGATTCCATGGATGACTTCTGTTTTCTCTGGATCAGTACTCTTTACCTTAATCTCTCTCTTTTGCTTGCTTTCTTTCCTGAGATCTCATTGTGGATCATGTTTAAGAATAGGACTGATCTAGATAGCTTTTAGGAGTTTCTGACTATTGTGTTTGTAAGTCTGTTTTCTCGTGGGTAGTAGGAAAACGGTCCCTAGGAGCTGTGTACATGGGAAGGGTGATCATGGTAATGCTAATTATCCAAATAGGCCTCCAAGTTTCAGTGGCTTTAAAATACATGCATTTGTTTCTCATCCATATCATAATCTAACGTGAGTGTTCCTGCTTGGCAGGTGGTTCTGACATTCTGAGACCTAGGTTTCTCCCATGGGGAGTCCTAGCACCTCCTTGGGCCTTGGTGCCTTCTACTTCCTGCTGGTCAAAAACAAGCCATAGTGTGAAAAAGGCTCTTCTTTCTTTCTTTCCTTCCTTCCTTCCTTCCTTCCTTCCTTCCTTCCTTCCTTCCTTCCTTCCT